AGTGTGTATCCTATCCACTTCCACCACTTCTTCGTGATCTCCACCTCCACTCGAATCTGGTTTGTTCTCTTCCACAGTAGGTTGTTACTGATAGTGTATGGCAAAAGAATCAGAAATATTTTGCGTAGACAACTGTTAATAAAAACTTGTATCTTATGTATGATGGCTTTGGTATTTATTAAAGTTTTAGCTTAATACAGTAGAACTGTCTTGACATTTGTATTGAAAATCCTGATTTTGGTTTTGGTTGAAAGTTGTTTGGAGTTCCAGATATTTCTCAACTGTAGAAATGCAGTCCTTGCTTTGCCGATTCGAGCCGTCACATCTGCATCGGATCCACCTTTCTCGTCGATGATGCTGCCCAGATATGTAAAGGTGTGAGCGTCCTCCAAAGAATCTCCATCAAGCGTGATTTGGTTGACGCATGTTGTGTTGCATCGGAGAATCTTACATTTACTTTTATGTATGTTGAGAGCTGCTGCTACACTGGTCGTCTTCTCTTGCATTTGTTGTTGCGTGTGAGATAGAAGAGCCAGATCATCTGCGAAGTCCAGATCGTCCATCTGCATTCTAGCTGTCCATCGGATACCGTGCTTCCCTCCTTATGCTGACATCTTCATAATCCAGTCGATCACCAGGAGAAAGAGAAAAGGTGAGAGTAAGCAACCTTGCCTGACATCTTAGTTTATGCTTATTATTCTGTATGTATTCAAGGTCGATTGAATACTTTATTGACAGAAAAAAAAATAATTTATCATAATCAAAATCAATTATTTAAAGTCAAGTGTTAAACTTACCGAATCCGAATTCTTGCCAATCTGTATGACACAATTTGAACATACAGTATTCTGACAATCATGACATGTTTTCCAATCTTGTTCCGCATATTTATCATCTGGTAATGGAGTTTGCCCACAAAGTAAACAATTATAAATTTGTTTTGTAACATCTTGATTCGATAAGGAAACACGACGTTTTACTACTTGTTCTGTACGTTTCAATTCAGTTTGTAGTTTTCTATGAATAAAATTTTTTTTCAAAAAAATTTGTAAGCATGAAAAATCGAGTAAATAACAATTTACATGTTACATGGCAGTAAATATCTATTAATTTTTTGATTAGAAAATCTTAAATGACAAACCATGAGCAACAAACTAATATTTGTTTGACTCATTTTGTGTGAAACGGAAAATTTTAATCATCGATGTAGTTCGCTCACCAGGCTAATTGAAAGTTTTTAAGTTTGTTATCTAAAAGTAGGATCATGAGTTAGTACTAATCTTCAGGTTTGGTTTTGTTAGGTTCGTCACTAGGTACGCTTGAAGATATTACGAGTTCACCTTAGTCGATAAACGTGAACGAGACAATGAACCAGCTCAGAGAACAAAACACCACCACAATGAACCAGCGTCTAGGTAGGCTAACATGATCTGAAACGGCTAAAGAGAAGTCTTGATAAGCGTAGGAAGTATATTCTACAAACATCCAGCAAACACAACGCAATCAAGCACACAACTCTCGTTTATTTATCCATCACAAAAACGTCTTTGGGACAGTCACAAAAATAGCACACTAAAACATACAGCAACCAATCACAGACATGGACTTGCCTGGTGGTATATGAAATCTCAAGGTCAATTGATCAGCCCATGCTGGCGAACGTGAAATCCAAAATAAGGTATTTATCAAGCGAGTTCTGGGGATCTAACGTCCCCAACAGGTTTTCAATAACTTACAAGGCGAAATCAGTACATGCTAAAAAATTAATCGTGTTAAAACGTAATTGTGAAGACTTTTTGTAGAATAAGTGGATAATGGCTATCACCACAATCCAGAATGTCTATTTCACTCGATATGGCAATCATCGGCTTGATGTCACCACATTCCAGTGTTGATATTTACTCTGAGATCAGAACCAAGTATTTTTTACTCTAAACATTAAAAAAAGCTTAATCCGTCAGGTTGCCAAGTTCATATTAAAACACACAGATTTATTCCATTGAAAACTAGTTAAAAACTCAATCTATCAAACATGTGAAGACTTGACGAGTGTGTAGGCAGTAACTACCGAAAACAAAATGGATGAGGTCGCCAAAAATCCAAATATTGATCGGAGTAAGATGCCGGCCCAGAGATTCAGAGGTTAGGCGTTCACGCGCAAGACCAAAGTTTCTGGATTCAAGTCCTGCGACTAACAGGAGTTGTGGAGGCGCATTGTCAATGAACCCCATTCCAGTGCTTCCAGATTCCCATTCTTGTTGGTCTAACAATCACTGATTCGTGAATTCAGTAACAAACATATATAGTGCTTAACAGGCTTAACATTTTTCAATCAATGACAGATTTATTTGCTTACATTATACATAATTCAATAGCCTTATTCAATAGATAAATTCTTGTCAATAAATATCATCTAAATAGTTTGGATTGATGAAATAGTGTTTTTGATTAAACAGAAAAGAGATTGACTTAAGTTATAATTTATATTGTGATAAACAAAAAATTATCAATTAACCAGAATACAACATTATTTATTGAATATACATATATAAATATTATTATTATTATCATTAATATTATTATTACTTCCTTCACTCAATTATTCTACAATTTCACCTTGACAAAATATATCCACAGTATATTGAAAATTGAAAAAAAACACATATTGAACAAGATTTTGTTATTGTTGTTGTAGAAAAAGGAAAGAAAAGAAAAACATTTTGAACGACAAAATTGATAAGAAATCTACTCTACTCTACTCTACCCTACTCCATCATCATGAATCTCATGATCATCATCATCATCATTTATATTCTCTTTAAAAAAAGCAAACAATAATTATGACAATCCAAAAACAATCACTCAAAATTATATATACTTATCGTCTTAAATATAGGTCAGTAGTAGTTATACCAGAAGGAAAAATAAAAAAAAAAAACATGATTGATCAAATTGCCCAGGTTGTGTTCTTCCATTCGCATCGATCCACATCAACAAATAACAATCAATAATGGATAAGTGAATTATTTATTAATAATTTATGAGATAGTTATCATCACTTCTGCTCACTCTCTCTCTCTTTCTCCTTATTCATGTCCTTCTGTTCTGGTTTGTTTTTTGTTTTTTTTTCTGAATTTATGATTAATATTCAACAAAACATTGAAAAAAATAACTGACAGAAATTGATATGAAGTCAAGTTGATGAATCAGTCAATCACTCCAAATCGATCGATCGATCGATCAATCAATCACATTCTGTGTGTGTGGGATTGTTTAATAAAATATCGATTTCATTCTGGGAGGATATTGATGTAGGATAGATTTTTGTGTAAAAGGATGAGGAGAGAGAGAGAGAGTAGGTGAGTGAGTGAGTGAGGTTAAAGGTGAAGGTGAACCATGAATGAGCTTTTTAGCCAATCATGAATGAACTAGAATTTAGTGATGAGTCAATTGAATTTCATATTAAAAAGTCCCAAGTGATCATACTGGAACAATTTATGAAAGTTTACTTAGAAATAAAATCTAATATCAGTCAGTCAGTCAGATGCAACGTAGAACTTCGTACGTAAGTACATCAGTTCATGTTGCCTGCCATACCACATTAGCACAGAGATGTAATTGTCAATTCAAATCCAATAGCAGAAGAGGTAGTAAAGGGATTAGAAGTAATCGGAGAGGTTAGGATGGGAAGATATTCAAGAAATATGATTCAGTGAGAAAAGTTTAGAAAGTCAAAACTAGAGGTGTAGAAGAATCCAGAAGATTAGGATTTGAGAGAACACAAAGAATAAATGCACCGGCGCCATTGCGAACGATTTTGAGCCATGTCATTCAGGGTATCTAACCACCGATTATTATCATCTTGCGGACACCAACCAGGTAGTCGACAACTACCGACATGGCTAAGTCCACTTGTCAATGACTTCATGGATTTCTGCCATGTTTTGGTTTGGCTGCCCCTAGCTTTCTTCCAACCTATTCCTACACTACAAAACAATCTAATATGATAAAAATTAAATCACAAAAGTAGTAAAATATGAAAGAATTATGTACCTGTTATGGTTTTTTGAGAAATCAGCATCAATTTTTACAAAAAGACATTCCATCAAAATACTTTTTCATTATCCAATTATGGATATTGTTAAGTTAAGATTGAAATAATAATGCATCAATCATTATTCAACCCAAAACAGTGGTTCCGTTTGAACAGAGAAATGAGAAGACATATTTTGTGAGATAGTACCATTTCGTGCTTTCTCGTCAGTCACATACAAGCAACATGTTATTCGTGTAAATACAGTTTTGAAGATAAGGTCAAAATTTCTTATTTAGCATGACATTCACTCACTAGAACCATGGTAAACAAAGGTTAACATACAGTTGTTTTTGAACACATAAAGTTGGACTTTTCCGATAGCTTCGAGTAGTTTCAGTGTATGTGTGTGGGTTTTGATGACATGTTACAACTCTAAAGGCTGATTTTGGGTCAATTTGATGATCACTCATCAATAGATGTTTTGCAATGGACCGCTATTATAAACCTGGAAGCATTGAACGGCCGTTTCGCGCTTGAGACCAAAGGTTTTGAGTTCGATTCCGGAGTGGAAAGGTCGTAGCTGTGTTTCTAGGTTTATAATGGTGGTCTAACAATGATCGATTCATTATTTCAATGAAAAATAGTTTCCTCGAATAATTCAATCGAAGGTAATGTGAGGTCGATCAAAGTAGTAATCCCAATAAACAGTAAATGGTTTAGAGGATTTGTGAAGATCAGTGATTATTTTCATCATGAACTTATATAAGATACTAATGAAAATCACAAAGTAATAGACAAAACTATTCCAAACAAGATCTTTTTCTAATAGAAAATTTCACAAATCAATCACCTACCTAATAATAGTCTTCTAACCTAATAATTAATTTTGTAACAGATCTAATGAAGCTTTGGAGAGAAGCAGTGAATATATATAGGTCAAACAAGTTAACAAGTCAAGCAGTAACTTATAGATGGCGTTAGATGATAGTTGGGAATGTGAATCGTTGGATTTAGAATGAACAATAAGAGAAGTAATTTTTTTTTCTAATCAGTTCAAACGTTCCAAAGAAAATTAAACGTTACAGAATATGATATAGTTTTGATGTTATTTTAATGAAGTCACTGAATGGAAGTTCAAAGTTTTATTTTCTTTTGCGGAAGTTAGATCCCCAGAACTCATTTGATAAAGGTCCTAATTTTGGATTATATTCATGGGCTGATCAGTTGACCTTGAGATTTCATTTCCCACCCAGAAAATCCTTGATTGTCATTGGTTCATGGATTATTTTAGTACGCTATTTTGTGGCTCTCCCAAGCATATTGCTTCATTGTATAAATAAGCTTGATTTGTGTGCTTAGAAACCTCGTGTTTTCTGGGTGTTTGTAGAATACACTTTCTACGCCTTAGCAAGACTTCTTGATATAGTTTGCAGGGCTGCGGACTAACGGATTAGAAAATAGCCTATCATATGACTGTATCATTTGTATTTGTTTTCGTTTACTGAGTAAGGAGAACTCACAATAGTTTCAAGCATATCAGTTGACGAGCTTAACATTTTCCCAATGATTGTATTAAAGAGTCAAATAATTCGAAGAACTCTTAGTTCTTTAACGATAGTGAGCGGGTCTTGAAGTATATTTTAGAACACATCCTTAGTTTAGAACCTAATAAAACGTCATTATGTAAGCTGGAACCAAGTGTTTAAAAAAACACTAAATTTTTTTTGGTTGAATCTACTTTGATTAACATGTTGACACTTTAACTCACTGAATTTTCATACTCATTAGGAGTTGTATTCTCTTGAAAAAAAGACAACTGTTGACTATCAAATAACTTTTATAACTTAAATATAGCTAAGAAAGTATCAGATTTTTATTCAATAATGCATCTTAGATCTTAAAAATGATCTTTAGATATTTCATTGCAAAGTTATGAAGATTATTGAGTTTCGTTGAAATTATTATGAACCGATTATTGTCA